TTTCTTTCTTTCTTTCTTTCTTTCTTTCGAGTGAAAATTGAAATTTTTTTAGATAGCACAAAGCAAACTTGTCACTTTACGTACATACGCCTTCTTCCTTCTCCTCATTACACTCAAAGATGTTTACCATTAAATAAGCGATATTCGGAGATAACTTAAACAGAACTTTCCGGAAAAATAATTTCGTTAAAAGGGTCAGTCCTTTCGTGGGATATATTGGTGCCCCTTGACAACTGGTCACTTAACTTTACGTCAAAATTAACAAAAGAACTGAACTCTTAGTTTTTTCTTAGTCAAACTAAAGTAACAGTAAACTATTTGCTTTTTCGCAGAGGATATAAACAACTTTTTGTGCGCCACTTCTAATAATAAAGGTCCTCTCATTCTGTCGTGACTGTTTGAAGTCGCGCGTGACAATAATCACGAAATCTTGCGGAAGTCTAAATAAAATAAAACACAAACACTATAAAGCTTCCAGAATTTGAATATTAATTCTGCTACACTACTCTTTGAAGAAAATTTAGCATTCAAATTAGAGTTTCGATATTTTTTGAAAATGAATCACAAATATTTCAGATTCGTATGAAAGTAAAAAAAGCTTGATGTCAATATTGAGATTTGGATTTGGCGGTTCAAAAATTTATTGAAAGAATCGTCGTATAGACATTGTTTTTGGTATAAATTATTCAGGAAATCAGAGAAGACAGAGCGAGTTGAAAATAAATTTTTTCCAAGAAATGTAGAAGACTGGCAGAGATAGTTCCTATTGTTGGTGATGTCACTGTACTGGGATTGGTTAAACATATCGGGGATTCCCCAGCCGGATTTKCACTACTATTACTTGCACTTTCAAGTTTCAAGATTTAGGATTGTATAAGAGAAAGCTCTTTTTAGCCTTCTATTTCAGTCTGTTTAGCATTTACCCTCAGTATTACAGTGGTACAAACTATATAATCAAAATATGGCAAAAAAGAGTGAAAACGATCCAGCTTTGAATGAATATTTCGAAGCAATGTGCTTTCAAGATGACGAAGAGAAAACTTGGCAAGAATATACAGACTTCTTGGTATCCAAACTTGAAAGTTTAGCCACCTTCTTTCGAAGTCAATCGATTCCCATTGATATTCATGCTACTGGGAGTTCAGTAGAGAAGTTAAGGATCATTTCGCCCGAAGATATAGGCGATATTGATGTCATGGTCTTCTCATTAGCGGAAGAGACGAAAATTCCTGAATCGATTATGGAGTACTCTATTCCTGGTAACCCTGTCTACGTACGACTTCGTGGTAAAGATCACCCTATTCTTCAACACTGCCTGGCGGAAAATTCCAATTACGTCGCTTCTGTAACCCTCATAAACTTCCATCGCAAAGTGTTTGGTGGCTCCGCAAGCTTCTTTAATATTCTCCCTAAGGTTTTTCAAAAGATTCAAGATATTTCGTCTTATGGGGTAGCGTGCAGGATACAGTCAACATCCGGACCTTCTATACAATACGATTTTTCTCAAACCCGCGAAAGCTTGCACGATAATGTGAAGGGAATGAAAAGTTACAGTAATTTTAAGGCTAACGATGAAATAAGTGGTCTTCTCGATTGGATGAGAGTAGCTTTGAATCCTGGAAAACCCTTCACTGAAGAACATTCTGCCACTGTCGATGAAGCGTCAAAATACGTTGAAGAAACTGTGCGGAGAGTAGGCGTAGATCCAAGTATTCAAAACTTCGACAATATATTCCAGGAGTTATCAACGGGACCCAAAACTCGGGAATTTCGAATGAAAATGCAAGAGTTAGATACCAAGAATGCTGAAAAAGAAAATGAGGAACCGGCTAGGGAAACTCGGACAAGCGCGAAGGAAGGTGCAGGAGAAGTAAATGACGATACGGAAAAGAAGCAAAGTCCTGAAACCGGAGAACTGAAGGTTTGTGCAAGTCCATTGCAAGTCGAACTGGCAGAAGGTTTCGAATCAACTTATGACAATGAAAGTGCCACAAGAGAAAGCAATGACGATGTTCAGGAAAATCTCCATCGAAAGGAAGTTTCTGCCACCACTATCCCCAAAGAAACAGAATCCGAACAACATCCTTTTGTTGCAATTGAAAGGGAGCTACAAGAAATAGGAGCCACAGCCGAGGAAGCTGCAAATTCAGCAGTGGAAGGTGAAAATATTGACATGGCGAAAATGACGGAAGAAAAGATCATGAATTACTGCATTGAGAATGTTCTGAGAGTTGGCAACTCCTCCAAATCGCCAGAAGAAATTCAAAAGGAGTATCTTGAGATTGCTGCAGATGAGACAAGACAAAAAGGCGGCTTTGACATCGTGCCAGCATTCCTAGCTAAGGGATGGCCAAGCAYGGCACGGGCTTGGATATCACGTGATCGCTTGTGGCCCAATCAGAATGTTATTTCGGACATCCTTGACTATGGATTTCATCTTGTGGCGAAGACTCCCAGTGAGAGTGAAAGACCAGACCTTGATTTTCGCTTGTCTTTTTCACATGCTGAATTCGTCTTGAGTAAAGAACTGAATGATATCCAACGCCAGTGCTACAGATGCTTCAAGTCCTATCACTTGACCATCATCCGAGACAGAAAACCCAAGATTGTTGCTACCTACTACCTGAAAACCATACTATTTTGGGCTGTCGAAGAAACTGGGATGGAATTCTGGAATAGCGAGAATCGTGGCTCCTGTGTCATGATGCTCCTTGGAAAACTTCTTAAAGCGTTGCAAACTAGATATCTTTCGCATTTCTTTATTCCAGAATTCAACCTCTTGGAAGAAGTTGCCAAGGAGTTTCCAGAAGAGATGGAGTGTCTTGCGGAGGAAGTCAGAAAAGTTTGTGAAGACCCTATGAGTTATCCAAACGCTTCACCGAAAGAGGATCAAGGTAATAAACCTACCGCCAGGCTTAAACCAATGTCAGATCCATCAGGTGAAGAGATCGAGTCCTGTTTGACAACAGCAACATCAAGTCGACCGATGAATGCAAACTTGCCACCTCAAGAAGACGTCTCCACGAAAAATCCATTATCAATTACACTTGGGAAAACTAATGATCTTGATAGTAAAAGTAGTGCAACAGCTCCATATTTTCTCAGGTTTAAAGATTTTCAAGCTCTCTATCGCCAAGTTTACAGAGAAATGCTAGAGTTGGCTCTTACAGAGGAGGCTGTTGATGCAAGAGATCCAACCACCAAATCCATTGTGACTAACATGCGAAAGGTGATGGAAAAAATGGAAAATGATCCCGAAAAAGAAATGGAAGTAGTGTTAGAACGTTGCCTGGCAAATGAATACTCTGCATTAGTCTTCCATCCCGGGCCCACCCCAAGAGATAGGATTCTTTCCCTCTTAAAGGGGCAGTGTGAAATGTTTGCCTATGTCGTACGTCAAGAAGATCTGGCCCTCGGGAACGAGCACGTTATCGTCAACAGGATACTTAATTCATCAAGCGATGGCAGCTCTGATCCGTTTGATTTGAGTGTGATGTATCCAGAAACCAGTAGTGCATTGGCAAACATCTTCGATGTGGTTGCTGCTCAGTTTCAGCCAATAAAGAAAAGTGAAGACATCGATGACGACATTCCTCTGGATTAATGACGYACGTCATAATGATGGAGACATTGCGATTGTTGTTAATGATGATGATTATGAGARAGTTTTTTGTTGGTGATGATCAAATAGAAGAAAAGTGACATCTTTGATGATGATGAATGATGATGATGATGATGAACGGATACATCGTTAAAGATGATAATGGTAATTACGGTGAATGAAGAATGATGATGAATACATCGATGATGTTTATGATGAATGATGATGATTTAACACATCGATGATGGTGATGATTGAACATACATTGTGATGATGATGATGATGATTGAACATACATTGTGATGATGATGATGAAAAATGATAATCATACGTAGACTCTTCCAAAGTCTCTCGCTCGTCCGTTCCGTMTCCACGCTTAGAGACTGTAACGGTACAATGACCGAAAGGACTTATGGGTCCCAAAAACTTGGACCCAGCGTGCTTTGGGAACTAAAATACTCGTCCACAGTCTCTCTCGTTTTGGCCGCCATCTTGAAAATATTGAAACTAGAGAGACTGTGGACGAGTATTTTAGTTCCCAAAGCACGCTGGGTCCAAGTTTTTGGGACCCATAAGTCCTTTCGGTCATTGTACCGTTACAGTCTGTAAGCGTGGAGACGGAACGAACGAGCGAGAGACTGTGGAAGAGTCTAAATCATACGTGGCATACAGTTGTTGATCAGTGAAGTAAAGCATGAGTGACGTCATTGATGATGCATGTGACATTAGAAAATTATGCGATGATGATTAATGGTCGTATGTAAATGACAAGACGATGAAGAACATAAAAACGTCTGTCGTATATTAATTAGATATTATTAGATATATGAGATGATATAATTATAAGACAATAAAAACTTAATATGGATGATGATGATAATAGTAGTGATAATGCAATGTAATACCATATAAAATAATACATTTAACATTAAAATGTTCTATTGAAATAAGTGTCATCATGAAAAATAGAGAATACTAGAGTGCAACCCCTTAGTTCGTAAAAATGCAGTCCTAAATCTATATCATATTATGCACTATGTAACTAGTATAAAATGGTGTAATGTCTATGGTTTACTATAAACCCCTTGCATCAAATCCAAGAGTAGTTTCATTTGGAGGACAAAACAGTCCAGGATTTTATTTCTCATGAGAGTAAACTTCCATTGACTTTTCCTCCAAATTGAACTGCTGGAAAAATTGACAGTGGAAAGGATCTACATCGCTATAGAATCTCCTGTCATGGCTGCCATCACGTGATGGTGCAAAGCTTATGAAAATTGTTTTTATACGACATGATATTCAGCACGGATATTGCCTTCATCTAACTTAACAAAACACCATCCAGTGAACCACTATTTGTACAGCACAACACCTTTATAGCTGTCTAATCACACCTAGAATCGTAGAGCACGAAAAGACAGGCAGGAGATCAATCTACATTCGACAAGGTAGTAAGCCTTCCCATACCACAGGTAACCCGGTATGAATTTTTTATGACGTCCTTTTAAAACAAACTCTTTGAGGTTTCATATCTCGATATTGGCCAAAAACAAGGGCAAACCTAAATCTGAAAAGACTTTGCTGATTAGGGCATATCTTTTTTCTCCATAACTTTAATATAGTAAATAAATATGTTATCTTTAAAGCAATTATATGTTTACTGAGCGTCTTTCCCTTCAGACAGTGCAGGTTAACGGATTTATAAAGCTATACAAACAGAYCCGCTGTCGTGGCACAGAGTATGATACTATATATTCTTGTTCTTTTGACTTTACATTAGCGTTTTATTGGTTCGGAGGCGAATCTTGCTGAATTCAACGTTAAAGCAAAAGGTAGAATCTTATTCGAAAAAGACCAATATTTTCACCTTAATTTCATCCCCTCTGAATTTAGGGACAATTTTAAAAGTGAAAAAGAATGTTAAAAAATCTCTATGTAGTAGATATATAAACGAAGCAATTTATTTATTTATTTATTTTTTTTTTTATTTTTTTGGTGAGGGGGTTCGCAAAAGATAAAGTGAAATGCAGTTAAGATCAGAGAAACGGCGTCTAGTAGTCGTGTCTGTCGTTTGGGACGAGAAAACGTAATGCATCAAAATCTATTATCCTTTTTTCTCCCAACTCCTAGATGATCCGGGTTCTGATCGCAGTGCTCGTTGTTATAAGTCTCCCTCGAAGTGAATGCACAGTCAAGCGAACTAAGGTACTTATCCTTGGGTCTGGAGTTTCAGGGATTACTGCAGCTAAAACACTACTCGAGAATGGAGTTGAAGATTTTCTCATCCTCGAGGCCCAAAGCCACATCGGTGGAAGATTCAAACAGGTTGATTTTCAAGGTTTCAAGCTCGAAGAAGGGGCGAACTGGATCCACCATGTTGATGAAGAGAATCCACTGTGGAAGCTGAAGAAGAAGTACCGGTTGAAAGGGAAATATACCAACTATGAAGACACGGTGATCAGGTAAGCTCCCAAGAGAGGAGGCGGTCCATTTTCGTGTCTTGTTGTAGAGTATACTACTGGGTTTCGTGCCATGATCAAGGGCGGATCCAGCCAAAATTTAAGGGGGGGGGG